GTCTTTTATTTTGTATGCAATTTTATTTACTTTTTATTTAGTTATTTTTCTCTGCTCCTGCCTTCCGTTGCTGTTGTTGTTGTTACTGCTCCTGCTACTGCCGCTGTTGTCTCGACAGGCGCTTTGTTTGCTCATTTCATTGAAATAGTTTGCATTTTGCTTTTCTAGCATTTCATTTGTTTTGTATGCTTTCGATTTTTAAAGGATTGACAATGAAATTGAATTCTTGGTCACGGGGCATCTACATGTGTATGTTCAAGAATTTGATGCTTTTATATCGAATGCTCACAGCTTTTCAGATAAATTACATTTCAAATATCTGCGAATTGTTCATTTGGATAAACAACAAATGGAAAGCTTTATTTAAAGAGTTGCAATTATCAAATATTTTTAATAAAGCGCTGTCCATGCTGGGAATGCTTGAATTAAAATCAAACTAATAACAAAGTCGAAAGTGAATGCAAATACAGATTTTAAGGATTTTATTTGAGCAGTGTTTCATTAGGTAGAGGGTTCTTTTATTTCATATTAGCTGTAGGTTTTTGAAAAGATTTTAGGGAGATTTGCAATTCTGTGCAACTTGCAATTCTAACAAGTAAAAAAGCTAAAGTCGGGTGTCCCGACTTTGAAATACTCTGTACATATGTTTACAATAATTATAGAAAATAAAAAAATTAAGAAAATAAAAAAAAAATTTGATCGATTTTACCTCTCTCGGTATTCGAACTCACGTAAAGCGTGTATAATTGCACATTTACATAGCAATTGCGTCTGTGTGAGTGTATGTATGCCTATGCGCATCAATTCGTGTCTGTGTAAGCATTTTCGCAGTCAACCAAACAGCAACATCAACAACAGCCGCGGGCAGCGCTTGAGCAGCGCTGCAGCAGCGCTGCATCAGCAAATATATTTATGGCTATAACTTCTTGTTAAATCGGTCTATCATAATGAAATTTGGCATACGGACATATAATAACTAACTGGGGGTATTTCCAAAATTTTAGTTCGAAATTCCAAGAATTACGGGAGTTACGATTTGCGGGGTAGAGGGGGGAGGGAGGGGAATTCCAAAATATACATTTTCTGCGTATTCACATAAGGCATCTGGGACTAAAATTTGGTGTTCCTAGGTCTTATAGTCTCCGAGATATAGGCGATTATACGAATGGAAAATCGGGAAAACCCCCATAGGAGGGAAGTGGGGGGGAAAATCAAAAAAATAAAACAAACTCGTATAGAATACACACATAACGCATCTTCGTTCAAAATTTGGTGTCTCTATCTCTTATAGTCTCTGAGATCCAGGTGTTCATACGGACGGACAGACGGACAGACGGACAGATAGACAGACAGGGCTAGATCGACTCGTCTCGTCATGCTGATCAAGAATATATATACTTTGTGGGGTCTGCCACGCCTCCTTCTGCCTGTTACATTTTTCAGCTCCCGCAAACCTAATATACTCTTGTACATTTCATGTACAGAGTATAAAAATTTAGAAAACTAATATCCAAAACATATACTTTAAACTAAATATGAATCTGAAGGCGCTCTGCTTATTATTTTTCTTTTTATATGAATTAATCTGTTCAATTTAGAAATTAATATTACTAAACAAAATGAGTACTTTCAGTCTCTTTAATTCATCATTAGATTGTATGCCGTTGTTTTGTTTTTTCACAACCTATTTCTTGGATTTTGAAAACACGAGTTTATTTTATTTTTTAGATGTCCTCTTCCCTCATCCAGCTGCAGAATTTCGTCAATACTGCTCATAATTCCAAAGCTACATTAACAAAACACACTTAATTAGTCAATTTATTTATTTATATCAACAAAAACTGACTGACATAGGAGGAAAATATATAAAAATTATAAGAAGCATCTTATAAGCTAGAAAGCCTGAGAAGGAGAAATCTAATCAAATTACAATAATATCTAATCATATATGTAAGTCCATTTTATTATCGTTTTCAAACTTTATCAAAATTAGTTGGTCGCCCTTCTTCCATTTTTATACCCTGTACCCAAAGGGTACAAGGGTATATTAGTTTTGTGCGAGTGCACATGGAACACACAGAAGGAGGCTTGGTAGACCCCACAAAGTATATATATTCTTGATCAGCATGACAAGCCGAGTCGATATAGCCATGTCCGTCTGTCCGTCTGTCCGTCTGTCTGTCTGTCTGTCTGTCTGTATGAACGCAAGGATCTCCGAAAGTATAAGAGCTAGAATAACCAAACTTGGTATACAGATTCTCCTGAGACCGAGAAAGGACGAGTTTGTTCATTTTTTCTGATCCACCCCCCCACTCCCCCCCTATTAACGATTTTCTATAACTCCCGTAATTCTTGGAATTTTGAACTGAAATTTGGTAGACACATCCAGTTAGTAATTGTATATCCGTATACCAAGTTTCATTATGATAGAATGATTGGAAAGAAAGTTATAGCCATATAACCAGGCCCAATGCACACATACATACATATGTACAAGTACACAAACACGCATAAGGCACGATTCTGATGTAAATGTAAATGTATCTATGCATGCATGGAATATTTAGTTAATTAATTAAATTAATTTAGTTAATTAATTAAATTAAATTAATTAATTAAATTAAATTAATTAATTAATTAAATTAAATTAATTAATTAATTTAATTAAATTAATTTAATTACTTTTTTGTGGGGTGGTACAGGGTATTTAAGAGTTGAGCCTGCTCGACTTTAGCATTCCTTTCTTGTTCTTCTTTTTTTTTTGCTTCTGCGGCGGAAATTTGTTTGGGTTGAGGGTATTTCACTGTCGGGCTTGTCGCCAGTAGCATCCTCGCTAGTATTTGAAGTTGAAACTATAAGGTATTGTAAACTGGTATGTCGACAAATAAATAATCTATTTCAATTCAATATACGTTCACAATCAATTCAAGCAATCCAACAGCTATGCTGTGAATAGAAACTCTTCTGTGTTTTTTGAAAATGTCTAGCAAAGTAAACTGGAAACTGTTGGAATGGGAAAAAGGTGGCTCAGTTTTATTTCGCACAAATATCGGTGACTCTATTTTCGTATGCATTTCCAAACTCAATTGACACACAATTTAACAAACTTTGAAATGGACACGATGGCTTCTAAACAGCTCAATACACGCCATTCAAAACAAGTTTACCATAAACCAATTCATCTGTCAAATTAAACAATTGCGCAAGGCAAATGAAGCAAGCAAAGGGGCAACATCGAACTACCAAACAATGACAGATTGGCAGCATAAAGTGAAAAGTGCAAACCAATAACCAAAAAAAAAAAAAACAACCAAAAAACAGAAAAAAACAAACAACAACAAAAATCGGAAGCAGGAACAAAAAATTCGACGGATACTGCCACAGCTCGAAAGCTCCAAAGCTGGAAAACTGAAGCACGCCGAGCGGACGATGAGAGAAGCCCATTATTGTTTCCATTTAACTTACAGCATTTTGCACTTTGGCCAGAGCCGAACCATTGAAAATCAGCGCCGGGAAGACGTACAGCCAAATAGATAAACGGGGGCATCACAGGAAAAAAAATGGCCAAGAAAATTGTGTGTGAAAATGAAACTGATTGGAAAACTGAAAGCAAAGTGAGACGCTGTTGTCGAAGGCATGAGAAATTGATGCAACTAAACAAATAGTGAGAGAGCAGAAAAGAAAAACCAACAAAGGGTTGTAACTAAAGCAGTTTAAAGGATAAATGCCAATAGCTTGAGTGCTAACAACCAATGTCGATGGACAGCAGGCTCTCTAAAGGACAATGCAATGGAATTGGAAATTGAATATTGGAACACCAAGACAGCTGATAGAAATGTATTAATATTTTCTAAATAGAGATGTTTGACGTTTTTAAACTCACTCACAGACTGACTGGCTGACTAAATGACGGACTAACTGACATATATTCAGTTCATTCATAATCAAGGCATATCAGGAAATTACGAGTATATATGGGTTTCAATTATCCCTTAGGAGGCAGAAATGTTGGAAAAATAACTTATTGTCCGTGAAACTCCAAATAAGATACAAAAATTATTCACAAATGTATAAGCTGAACTATCTAAATTAATGTTAAACTTTTTAAATATGGAAAAACTGTTTACACAATAGACTTTAGCGTGATTAATTTCTGAACAAATGGAATTCTTTTAATGAATTATGTACAACAATTATGTCCTTTGAAAATGTGAAAGTTTACCAGAAAGTATAAATAAAATGCAAAAGGAATTGCACATTTGCTCAGAAAAAAGAAAACATATATTGACAAAATATTGTGATGCCTGGTTAATTTATTTAAAATTTTATAACTTTAATTTACTTAAATAAAATTAGTTGCAATTTCGAAAAACTAGAAGTTTACGTTTAGGCACGTTCTTTTCGTTTTTTTAGCTCACAAGAGTTTGAAAATAATTGACGCCTAGGTTTATTATAATTCCATCACTTAAAGGTTAAGAACTCTATTGCATGAAGTAAAGTCTTTGAAAATTTCGTTATATAATCGGCCACATATTAAAGACACATTTCCATCAAATACTGTTAAGTATGTGCCAATGCTATCTTGAAACTGTTCCGAATTTTTGGATACAAGTTAACTTCTTTACAATCCTCCTCCTTCCATCCAATCTCCCCACATCCCGCTAATAACAATTATCCATTTTTCCTATAAAATTTTGAACTTATTTAATCGGCCAGAAATAAAAGACACATTTCCATCAAATACTGTTAAGTATGTGCCAATGCTATCTTGAAACTGATCCGAATTTTTGGATACAAGTTAACTTCTTTACAATCCTCCTCCTTCCATCCAATCTATAATCTATCCTATACGATTTTGAACTTGTAACAAAGTAAGCGCTGCTTTCAATCACATATAACGTAAACTTTAAATTGTTCAGTTTGTATTGAAATAAATACAAAAAAATTATATACACACACAACAATAAACAACAACAACAACTTATATTTCGATGCCTAAGAAACCAAGACTGTCAAGCCAATATGGATACAACCGTTATTGAGGTTCAAGTGCGTCTCCTTTTTAAACGCATCCTCTCGGTATTGGCACGCTTCTGTATTCTTTCCAACTTTATCGCCGATATCATATATCTTTGCAATGGAGACAATTGGCTGATGGAGCGAAATGTAGTCAGTTTGACTTGGCGTTGTGGACGCGAGATCGCCACCATTTACGTTTGCACCTTATTGGGTTTGGAAATGGCGGGCTGTTTTTTGATGATAGGGGATCGCAATCGTCGCAGTGCCGCCTGCATTCTATCGCTCGTGGCGCACCTGAAGGTTGTTGCTAATCCTGCGTTCTGGACTCTGGATATCTATATAGATACCTGTGCGCTGGCCAGTGCTCTGCTGCTGCTGCTCGCTTTGCGAAAACCGAGAGGACAGACCCGCATGACTTTTCTCTTTATGGCATATTTAACATACCATCATTTGGATTCTTGGTACTGGCGAACCCTCAACAGATATCTGATTAGATTTCTCATTGCCTTCATATTGATTGGCTATCGTATGCGCCTGGCTGTAAGTCTGTTAATTGCTTTGACGGCCCTGCACGCTTTTCATTCTTCCGCCTGGTGGAATGTGCCGTTCGAACAGCATTCAGAACGGAGCTTTAAACGTTTCTACTTCTGGAACAAAATGTCCTTACTGGGCGGTCTGTTTATGACCGCAATATATTCCAACTATCGTTGTATGCTCTAGATTGCAAATAAATGATCTGAATCATGGAAAGCAATGGAAAAGCAATGTTATTTGCAGGTAGAGGTAACCATCAACTGAGAATCCACATCTATTTTTATAAAGTGTGTAATAATTTTTTATTGTTGTAATATTTATGAGTTTCTTAGGTGGAATAACCAACAAAAAACCAGAGGAAAAACCTTGAAATTTTAAAAATTAAATATTAATTAGTAAAGTCAAAAACAAAACGCAATTCTAAGTAAAAACAAAAGTAGTATGGAAATTTTTATACCCTGTACCCAAAGGGTACAAGGGTATATTAGTTTTGTGCGAGTGCACTTGGAACACACAGAAGGAGGCTTGGTAGACCCCACAAAGTATATATATTCTTGATCAGCATGACAAGCCGAGTCGATATAGCCATGTCCGTCTGTCTGTCCGTCTGTCTGTCCGTCTGTCTGTCCGTCTGTCTGTCCGTCTGTCTGTCCGTCTGTCTGTCCGTCTGTCTGTATGAACGCAAGGATCTCCGAAAGTATAAGAGCTAGAATAACCAAACTTGGTATACAGATTCTCCTGAGCCCGAGAAAGGACGAGTTTGTTCATTTTTCTGATCCATCTCCCCACTCCCCCCCTATTAACGATTTTCTATAGCTTCAGTTAGTAATTATATATCCGTATAACAAGTTTCATTATGATAGGTTGATCAGAAAAAAAGTTATAGCCATATAACCAGGCTCAATGCACACATACATACATATGTACAAGTACACAAACACGCATAAGGCACGATTAATTAATTAAATTAATTTAGTTAATTAATTTAGATTTTTACCAATGTTCATCGACCAATGCTATAAAGTATTTGTGGAAGAAAAAATTAATGGCAGAACTTCTTTGTGGCAAAGGGTATTACAATGTCAGGCTTGCTGAACGGCAACATTTATTCATGATTCATACAAATATAGTGAAGCTCCACTCCTATATTTTTATGAAACATTAAAGAATGTGAAGCCATAGCTCTATAAAGCCAAATTCAATAGAATAAATAAAAAGCGATATCTTTACAAAGCCAAACTATTCGACAATGTTTGCACACTTTTCAATGAAACAAAAACTTAAAAGAAAAATGAAAATACATTGAACTTTAATTATTTTAAAATGTTTTGAAGATGAATGTGAAGTCCCTTCTTCTGTCTTCAACTAAATTATAAATCAGTCTGTTAGTTTTACTATCATATTCATATTATATTAATGAAATCCAACAAAACAAACTATTCGACAATTTTTGCACGCTTTTCAATGAAACGAAAACTTAAAAAACAAATGCATTGAAATTTAATTTTGTTTTAATGTTTTGAAGATGAATGTTAAATCCGCTCTTCTGTCTTCAACTAACTTATAAATCAGTCTGTTAGTTTTACTATCATATTCATAATCTATTAATGAAATCAAACAAAACAAACTATTCGACAATTTTTGCACGCTTTTCAATGAAATAAAAACTTAACAAACAAATGCATTGAAGATTAATTTTTTTTAATGATTTGAAGATGAATGTTAAATCCGTTCTTCTGTCTTCAACTAACTTATAAATCAGTCTGTTAGTTTTACTATCATATTCATATTCTAATAATGAAATCCAACAAAACAAACTATTCGACAATTTTTGCACGCTTTTCAATGAAACCAAAGCTGAAAAAACAAATGCGTTGAAGTTTATTTTTTTTAATGCTTTGAAGATGAATGTTAAATCCGTTCTGCTGTCTTCAACTAACTTATAAATCAGTCTGTTAGTTTTACTATCATATTCATAATCTATTAATGAAATCAAACAAAACAAACTATTCGAAAATTTTTGCACGCTTTTCAATGAAATAAAAACTTAACAAACAAATGCATTGAAGATTAATTTTTTTTAATGTTTTGAAGATGAATGTTAAATCCGCTCTTCTGTCTTCAACTAACTTATAAATCAGTCTGTTAGTTTTACTATCATATTCATAATCTATTAATGAAATCAAACAAAACAAACTATTCGACAATTTTTGCACGCTTTTCAATGAAATAAAAACTTAACAAACAAATGCATTGAAGATTAATTTTTTTAATGATTTGAAGATGAATGTTAAATCCGTTCTGCTGTCTTCAACTAACTTATAAGTCAGTCTGTTAGTTTTTATACCCTGTACCCAAAGGGTACAAGGGTATATTAGTTTTGTGCGAGTGCACATGGAACACACAGAAGGAGGCTTGGTAGACCCCACAAAGTATATATATTCTTGATCAGCATGACAAGCCGAGTCGATATAGCCATGTCCGTCTGTCTGTCCGTCTGTCTGTCCGCCTGTCTGTCTGTATGAACGCAAGGATCTCCGAAAGTATAACAGCTAGAATAACCAAACTTGGTATACAGATTCTCCTGAGACCGAGAAACGACGAGTTTGTTCATTTTTTCTGATCCCACCCCCCCCCCCACTCCCCCCCTAATAACGATTTTCTATAACTCTTGGAATTTTGAACTAAAATTTGGTAGTCACATTAGGTTAGTTATTATATAACCGTATAGATAGAATGATCGGAAAGAAAGTTATAGCCATATAACCAGGCCCAATGCACACATACATACATATGTACAAATACACAAACACGCATAAGGCACGATTCTGATGTAAATGTATGTATGCATGCATGGAATATTTTATATTTAATTAGTTAATATTTAGTTAATTAATTAAATTAATTTAGTTAATTAATTTAATTTAATTAATTAATTAATTTAATTACTTTTTTGTGGGGTGGTACAGGGTATTTAAGAGTTGAGCCTGCTCGACTTTAGCATTCCTTTCTTGTTCTATCATATTCCATTTAGAACTTGTGTGCATGGTGTGAAAATTTAAGTTAGTTGTAATTTTTTTGGAGTAAACATTTAAAATATTTTAATGCCCGCAGCACCACCATCTTTATCACTGCCACCGCCCCTCCCGCCCTTCTCCCACACCCCCTCAACTCCTGTTGCCTGTCACAACTTTACCGCCATAAACATCATCATGAATGTCTACGACTGCAATGCGCCGCCCGCGCCTTCGGGCGATTCGCGCATATCATGCAAAAATAAAATAAAATAAAAAAATGAAAAAAGCAACAACACAAAAAGGTACAACTTGCTGCACAGTTTTCATGACAATGATGACGGCGTCTGTTTCCGCTTTTGATGCTGACGACGATGACGGCGACAGCGTCGCCATTTTAGGCGCTTTTTGTCTCGACGCGGAGTCTCGATTTCTCCTTTCCTCCTCTCCGTTTTTTTATATTCTATTGCATTGCCAGCTGCCTGTAGCATTTGGTCTCGAGCCTACATTTTTACAACTATGTTAAATTTTTGTTTGTTACTGCAACAGCAACAAAAACAGCAGGAGTTACCACTCTGTTGCAGAGGAACGTCGCGACGCGTCATCACAATTGTCGGCATCGTCGTCGTCGTCGTCATCGTCATGGTTGCTGCCGTTTGTGCACACGTTGTGCAAACTTTTCCACTTCATCGCATGATTGCAAACAATTTTATTTGCTTAGTTATTTCTTGTGTTGCCGTTTTGCAGAGCAGATGAGTTGATTGTTATGTGCAGAGAAGAAATGCCAGCTTTTGAATATTGATGAACTGACAATACTTTAATATTAGCAAATACTAGCAACGGCAATATTGTGATATGAAAATCCACAATGAACTCAATTCCCAATACAAAGCGACAGTTATTTTAAAGTAAATAGTAGTTGAGGCATGGTTATTGTCAAGGACTGCAGGGATATGACATTTGTAATTACTTGCGGGTGAAATGTATTGTAGATAGGAATGGGAAATAATAAAATCCTTATTGGAGATATTAGACACGATTTCTACACTGATAGACTTCTTAAGAGAACAATTTTGAGAACAATATTTTAATTACAAGCACTTAAATCAAAATTGTTGAACAAAGAACGCAGCAGAATTTTAACTGAGATTTTAAGGTAAGAGGCTGTGGTCGGACTAGGAAATAACTTGCAAACTAGTTCTTCAAACTGTTCCAGAGAGAGAGTGGATTTTTTAGTTGCCAGCATCCTGCTCTGCTTTTTGGCGACTCCTTTAGTGAGGCAAGCCTGGACATCTTCTGCTGGCTTAAGAGGTTTTCCATCATTTCGATAGTTTTTGGTTTTTTGCATTTTCTGAAACTGTCGCCTATTTTAAGTTTCGTGGCATGGCCACCAATGAGAGCAATTGGAGTTGAAATCGAGTCGGTTTTTGTCCCTACCATAGTGCCAATATAGCTTAATCCAGACGTGCTTTTAGGGAAACAACTAGTCTTTCGGCTGGCTATATCTACTCCTTCTTCTTCCAGAGTTTTCGCCATCTCGTTTCTTTTAATGGTTTCGTGATTGGGAATCTTGTAGATATGCATGCATATGTTTTCTCTATGTTTCGAATCATTTCATTTTCATTATCTTCCTATCTTTGCCAAGACACTTACTGGTGGGCGCCTACAAGAATTAAACAAAAAACTGTTAAATTAAACGAATTTTATTCTTTTTCAAAAATAGTGTAATTGCGAAACTTTTTTAAAAACAGTTTAAACAGCACTCCAATATTGTAAAATCTGAAAATGAGCTAAGAGGCCGATGGGTTGAAAAGTTATAATTACTTCAGTTACATTCAACAAACCAACTCAAGTTCTTTTTAAGATAAAGCAACATTATACTTTATTATTATAAATAAATTCTGATTAACCTAAAAAGGCTTTAAAGTATTCATTCTAAATTTTAAGTTTCCAAAATTGTTTACACAAGTCACATACAGATAGATATTAGATATGTTTATTAATGGCCACCTTAATGAATTTATATTTAATTTTCAGCAAATATTTCACTTTATTTCATCCCCAACTTTAAGCTTCTGTTTACACTTAAATGTGTTAGCACCCTAGCCGCTGAGTGTGGAAAAATGTCACCACAATCGTTGGACGTTTTGAAAAAAAATGTGCTTTCATGCCAAATTTTAATTTCATCAACTTTTATCCAAA